CCTACGTCCCTCTCTCTCATTTTCCTCGACCAACATATCCTATACCACTACACGGATCGCGCAGTCCATTCTCTATGTCTTTGTGCGCAGGACTACTATATTCATGAGCGCTGCGAGTGTCGAGAATCGGAACTTAACTCGAAATCTAAAATCGGTCCACTTTTATTTTATGGAGTGGGGTCTCCTTAGTATCTTCCTTCCTGGTTTCATGTTTGTTCCTGTTGTTACATGTAAGGGCCTACGCACAATAGAGGAACAAGAATTAGATATTAAGATTTCAACCTATCAGAAATCGTGTATTTCGATGTAATCAGTTTCTGATAGGTTGAAATCTTAATATCTAATTCCTGTTCCTCTATTGTGCGCAGGCCCTAAACATCAAAACTGAGGCGGGAAGATTACTATTCTTGACTTATACTTTCAAACTATAAAGAGATTTGGAACAGTTTTATGAAAATATGAATTAGAACTGAATCGTAAGTATTATATATGATAAAAAGAGTTTATAACGCATTGCATACGAATGTCTTTATTAATATCTCGATTCCTTTTCGTAATATAGAGATCAAAGAATGCAATATTGTGTGAAACGATTCAAAATATTGAACGATATTAAAATTACGTTATTGTTCGCAAGTATTGTATATATTATATGAACTCTTTATTTTTTTCATAATTTTATTTGTACAAAAATTCTTCTGTAAGAAAGCAATATTGCTAATATGAATTATATCGATTTTATTTAATTTTTATTCCAGGAAAATGTCTGATCCAAGCCCTAAACAACAAAATCGAAAAAAATCTTCTATACATAATTTTTTTACGAAATACGACAATATTTCGATACGATATACCATATGCTTAAGGACATACAAAAAATATGGAAACACGACTAATTTACTCAACCACCTACAGCGAATGCATCCAGAATATATTGATTCAATTGATAATTCTGAACAAAAAAAAATGTGCCAAATGGTAACATCTATCGATGAAGAATCTGAAGAACTTGATTCGGTTTCGGAATTATCAACCTCAACATCTATGCAATCTCAGGAATTAAGTTCTTGCACTTCAATGTGTACATCAGAAAGGAAAATCCCCGTTTGCTCAACATCAAAGAATCCTTTGCCTAAGTTCCAAATACAGCCATCCACAGATAAAGCATTTCACAAAATCGAAACGTACCGTGGTAATTAAATAGAAGTCATGTAAAGAGTATACATCTCAGCTTATCTGCGCCTTATTTAAATTTTTTTATTTCAGACGGTGGTATGTTAGCGTCTAAGATTACAAATGGTATCCTGTATATGATTGCGATAGATAAACAGCCTTTTTCGATGGTCGAAGATGACGGATTCAGGAAATTTTTAAGTATCTCTCTCGGTGGCACCTCTATATACTGTACCACGTCGAAAAACTATCACAAAGCGGCTAGATGAAAAGTACGAGCTACTCAGTTCGAAAATCAGAACTATGTTTTCGAAGATCGATCATCTTTGTTTAACAACAAACATTTGGACAGAGCCGTTCAATACTCGGAGTTATATCGGCATACCTGTACATTACATCAATTTCGAAACTATGCAACTAGAAAATCTGTCTTTGGGGATAAAGGAACTCGAAGAAAGCCATGATGGAAATTATATATCGAAAATTATAAGCGAAATATTAGATGAGTGGCATATTCAAATCAATTCAGTAGTAGCTGTAATTACAGACAACGCTTCTAACATCAAAAAAGCGGTACGGGATACGTTTGGACGCAAAAGACATATACCATGTTTTGCTCACACACTAAATCTAGTTATCCAAGACGCAATCGCTACAATACCGGAATTCCAGGCTATAGTAAAAAAAGTAAAAAGTATTGTTACATACTTCAAACGCAGCGTCAAATGCACTTAACGAGTTGCAGACTTCTAATCTTGAAAATGGCCAGAATATTTTAAAATTAAAGCAGGAATGCGAGACACGCTGGAATTCGCTTTTCTATATGATTGAAAGATTCATTCAATTAGCAAATCTAGTGAATACCGTATTGCTCACTCTTCCACGAAAAAAGCATGATGATATACCAGAGATGACAACACACACCGATCTACTAATTTTGAAAGATATCTGTGCTATTTTGCGTCCAATTTTGAACGCGTTACTACGGAGATATCGGGCAAGTTGTATGTCACTTGTAGTAAGATCCCTATCATTAATTGTCTGATAAGAACTTTGGAAAAACTCGACATTACTCATGAGATTTCAGAACGCTTTCATAAAAATGTTTTACTACAACTCCAAAATAGATTTCGAGGAAAGGACACATTATGGAGATATCGGGCGAGTTGTATGTCACTTGTAGTAAGATCATCCCTATCATTAATTGTCTGATAAGAACTTTGGAAAAACTCGACATTACTCATGAGATTTCAGAACGCTTTCATAAAAATGTTTTACTACAACTCCAAAATAGATTTCGAGGAAAGGACTCAAACATTGAAACAAACAGTTTTCTTTCTATATCTACTTTGTTGGATCCACGCTTTAAGAAGCTGCACTTTAGCAATTCATTAGCGGTTTCTACAGCAATAAGCAAGATCTCCCAGTTAATGAAAAATAATCAAATAGAAACGCAATGTAATGTAGAAGAGAATATAAATATTCCTAGAAAAGAAGATCTTTGGAACATTCACGATGAATTAATAGCTTCTTCATCATTAAATTCTGACGAGCCTGGTGGCATACCAGTCGAACTTCGACAATTTCTTAATACTAATGTCATTAGCAGAAGTGAGGATCCATTCAAAATTTGGCAAAAATTGAAGGATGTTTATCGAATGGTGTATGAAGTTGCCATGAAGTATTTTGTGTCGGAACATCAGTTCCATCTGAACGGTTGTTTAGTGCTGCCGGAAATATTATCAGCATGAAAAGAAGCAGAATTAAGGGGAAAAGAGCGTCGCAGATTATATTTTTAGGGTCTTTGCTTAAGAGATATTGGAAGTAGATACCAACAGAGATATTGGATATGAAATCAACGTAAAAATTTAAGAAAGTCATTTAAGTTTCACTTTAATTCATAGTTTATTTTATAACAGTTCCTAGCTGTTTATGCTTTTATTACTTTATTATAAAGAGTTGTAGTAAGCTATAAATATATTTTTTTGTATGTGTGATAATATAAAAAACTCTAAAGTATAGTAAGTACTATTATAATAAGTATAGTATATAAAGCATTATAAAGTATAGTAAGTACTATATATAAAGTCCTATATTTAAAGTATAGTACTTCCTATACTATAATACTATACATAAAATATCATATAAAGTATAGTAAGTAATAAAATTATAAAACATTTTATAGCGTATTAAATACATTCAGATTCTATTCCCACAACCTTTAAATTTATTAAATGAAGCCTTTAAATGCGTTCAATGATTCTTAATCGTATTTTATTTGAATTTTTGGACAATTAGTTCAAATGATACTCAATGTCCATTATTAATTGTCCTAAAAATAGGATTTATATATAAAATTTGTTTTCTTTTTTATTCCTGCATTCTTTGAACACATTATAAATGTTGTTCGTTTCACTTCAATAAGTTGAAGTAAAACAAACAAAAATGAAATAAAAATACATTTATTGTTTCATTTAAACTTATTGCACAGTGTGCATCAGTTCAGACAATACAAAAATATAAAATAATGTATTTACAGGATTGGCAGAATTTTTTTTTAATTTTCAAGAATAAAACACTAGGCCAGTTTCACCAACGCCGATTAAAGCTGGGTTACGCTATTACTGCCAGTTTGTTATAAAAGTTTGTTACAAAAGTTATATTTCTAAAAACACTCAAAATATATTTATATTTCAAAATTTAATTTATTATCCATGTTACACTTTTTCCTTACGATTAATAGGCTAGAAAATAAAACAGATTTAAAGTCTTACTGTTGGCAGTTCTCGTGACAAAGTTAGGCTGTGTTCCGATATTACTGCCAGTACTGAAAATCTATAGTATACGTTACGTGCTATAGATTTTCAGTACTGGCAGTAATATCGGAACACAGCCTAACTTTGTCACGAGAACTGCCAACAGTAAGACTTTAAATCTGTTTTATTTTCTAGTCTATTAATCGTAAGGAAAAAGTGTAACATGGATAATAAATTAAATTTTGAAATATAAATATATTTTGAGTGTTTTTACAAATATAACTTTTGTAACAAATTTGTTGTCAAGAAATTAGGTTAGAGATGGTAAGTTTTCAGTTTAACAGTTGGTAACTCTCAAACTTAGGCTGCGTTCCGTTATTCACTGCGAGCACTGCAAAGAGCATTTCATCTTTATTGTTTATTAAGAATATTAAACAAGAACAAAACGCTACTTGCAGTGAATAACGGAACATAGCCTTAATTGGCCGATAAATAACGGATGTTGATGAAATTGCGTTTTTTTTAACTTCAAAAATACTTTAAATAATACTAAAAAATGTTAAAAATATTAAAAATCTCGATTGATCACGTTTTAAATTGTTTACAATATGTTTTTTTACTAACGCTGCCTATTTATATATTTTAGAATTTTTAATCGATTCTTCAGAATCGATTAATTTCAACCCGATTAATTAAATCGTAAATTCTTTTTTATGAAATTTAAATGATTACGATAATCGATTCTTTTTTTTAAATGTCGCATCACTACCGTTGATCCTATGAAGAAGACCCCATTCCCTTTGCAGAGAAAGCACCCCACACCATGATCGAACCTACCTCCGTGTTTCATTGTAGGAAGTTGGTACTTGGGGTCGAAGCGCTTGCCTTTAAGACGACGAATCCATGTTATTCTGTCAGTACCAAATAACAAAAACTTACTTTCGTCGCTCCAGATGACAGAAGACCACTTCTGGGGTATCCAATTAAGATGAGCTTTCGCCCATTCCACTCGCGCCTTCCGGTTCTTGGCAGAAATAAATGGCTTCTTTACGGGTCGTCGTCCATGTAATCCTGCGACCTGCAGACGATATCGTATGGTCCATACGGTTGGACCAGGCTCTTCAAAAATCAATATTTCTTTGGCAATATCTGATGCCGTGAAACATGAATTGCTACGGGATATGCGGAGGATGTTGCGATCGGTGACAGAAGTAGTACAACGCGGTTAAATTACGAAATTCTGAATTAAGGAAATTAAGAAATTCTGATCTCAAAAATAATTTTTTTCGAAATTATCTTTTTTTTAAACTTAAGTTAATTCGATCTTTTTTTTTCGTCGAGGAGGAAATCTTTAAAAGACACCCGGGGAACCACCCCGGGTAGTGTCGGATTCGCCGTCCCAAACCGAAGTTCAGTCTGGCGCCTACCGACTAAAACCTCCCCGCCATCACATCAAGACCTACAACGATGCGGGAGACGGGACTACTACTGTATTACTTCATCTCCCGCATCATCGGCCACATCCGGTGGTCCGGACCCTGCTCCCACGTTGGCAGAGAGGTGGTTAACCTCCCTACGTCCATCGCTGGATCGCTCTTGCTAGGTGTTCCCTTTAGTCAGTTGTCCGTGCCAGGGGAGCCAACTGAGCAGCTCCCCCCTCGCTGACCACCGACCGACTTACTGCCTTTCAGGCCGGACCCAGCAGTAGCGGCGGCGCGAGAACGGGTCCTCATCGATCGGGAGGTCTCCACGACCTCCGCCGAGGACGGACCGGCCTCGCCCACGAGGGTGGCACCCAGTTGGACACGGCTCAATTGGACACGAGCCACTCACAGCGCTTGAGACTACAAAGCTCCTAAGCACCGGTCGCTGTGATTGGTGTCGAGCCGTGGTCAATCGGGATCACCCCGCCCACGACTCGGATGGGCTCCAGTACGACCTTCGGGGAGATGTTCCCCAAGGAGACCGGCCCACCGGGCTTTGCCACCGCTCTGGGTCGTTTCATTGCCGGGCTCTCCGGCGAACTGCCGGAGAGTCTCGGGTCCATGAGGACGGTCTCGCTATCGGACCACCTAGACCGTCCCCACACTCCTCCTCCATACGCTCCCCATGAGGGGAGGGAGGCCTCATCTTCGGCCGTGCCGGCTGAAC